TTCTTTTGTAATTTTTATGGTTCTTCTAAGAATACTTCCCAATACTATGATATTGATTCTTTTGTAAACTCATGTAATTTAAGCAAGAGACGTTCTCTATCGTTGTTTCATTTGAATGCTAGGAGCTTTCCACGCCACTTCGAGCAGCTTAATGAATACCTACACTCCTTAAAACATAGTTTTTCTGTAATTGGCATAACAGAGACTTGGTTATCTCAAAATACAGCTCAAAATTACAACATGCCCAATTATAAAGTTATTCATCATTGCAGACATCATAAGGTAGGAGGGGGGGTTTCCCTATTCATAAGAAATGACTTATCCTATGTTGAGAGAAATGACTTGGAGTTTGAAATTGAGGAGTCAGAAACTCAGTGTATTTTCATTGAATTGTCCTCAAGTGGTGCTGAAGGGGGAAAATTCATTATTGGATGTGTATACAGGCCTCCAAACACTCTTATACAGGAGTTTAATGACAAATCAACCCTTAACAGAACACCTTCCCGGACTGATTAATCTGTACACCTGGGGTCCGCGCGGACACCAGAGCAGTTTTTTTCTAATTTTTAGAAATTATCAACATGCTACCAGCTCAATTGTTTTGCAAACTGATGTGGGAACCTCTGTGTCCACATTACATACAAAAATCATACATTTTGAACTTTTTCTATTTTTTGGTGAAGAAAAGAAGACAAGAAGAAATACCCGATTTTTAAACCCATTTCAGACTGAAGGGGCTTTTGAGGCCCAACTTTGATCTCAGATAGCGGCTAAACGGCTTGCGCTAGAAGTATCAAATTTGGAGACCTTTCCTAAAATGTCTCTGGAAAAAAGTTCATATTATTTTTATACTAGTAAATTGATGTTTTTTTGTGTTGCCATGGCAACGGGTAGTTTTTTTGAAAATAGAAGTAATTTTGGTTTAAACATAAAAATTTTCTGAGTTTTATATAAAATTACACTTCTTTTCCAACATTAATAACATCTTACATAAATAAATATAAGTTTAAACATTTAATATGCATAGAATATGCTAATTTGATGACGTCATTGGTCAAAATCCAATATGGCGGACTATATTATTAGCTCTGACGTCATATGACGTCATAATTACACCAAAGTTATTAAAATTCAATTCTATTACTACACCATTCTCTGAAAACTTGGTAGACATACGATGAATGCATAAAAACATATAAAAACGGAAATAAGGTAATGTATAAGAACGCCAGTGTATCCATTATGATCGAAAGCCGGCTGGGGTCCGCGCGAAAATCAGATATAATTTTTTTATAAATGGTAGAAACGGAGTTTTCTGCACTGTATCGAGAGACAACTTTGTGGGTGACAATTACCTAAAATTTCAGAAAAAAAATCTTTAGAAACAAAAAAGATATTACAGAATATATAGTGCTGGGGTCCGCGCGGACCCCAGGTGTACTGTTTAGGGTTAACTGAATGCCTGAATAAGATTAACAAAGAAAAGAGTACCTGCTATATCTTGGGTGACTTCAATATAGATCTATTAAAAACCTCACATTCCCCTACTACTGATCACATTAATAATCTTTTTTCTTCCTCATTCTTCCCTCTTGTTTACAAGCCTACAAGAATCACACCACATTCTGCCACCTTAATCGATAATATCTACACGAACACACTAAGTTCTGACTTAACGGCTGGAATTTTAGTAACAGACATATCAGACCATTTTCCAATATTTTTGACAACTGGATTTGAGGAGCCGTTGAAGAATGATTTTCGGTATACTTATAGACAGATTAATGAGGTGAACAAAGCAAAATTTGTTGAATCCTTAACTAACACATCGTGGATGTCCGTTTTGGAAGAAACTGATACAGAAATGGCTTATAATATATTTCTTTCTATATTTTCCTCACTTTTTGACAAATCATTTCCAATGAAAACTACCAAAATTGTCCAACATCCCCACAAAAAACCATGGTTAACCCGCTGTTTGCTTAATTCGATTAAGAAGAAAAACAAACTGTATAGAAAATACGTTAAAAACCCTAACCCTCTAACAGAGAGTACCTACAAAGGATACAAAAATAAGCTAAATCATTTGTTAAAAACTGCCAAAAAGAATTGTTACCATTGGAAATTCACAGAAGCCTCCTCCAACGTGAAACAAACTTGGAACGTTATCAATGAATTATTAAATCGTAGTAATAAATCAAAAACATCCCCTATTAAAATCCAAACAGATACTCAAGTTATTACTGAAAAAAGTAAGATGTGCGAAGAATTTAATGACTTTTTTGTAAATGTCGGTCCTACCCTGGAAAGCAAAATCCCCATGGTGACGAAAGATCCCCTTGATTACATTAATACTCCGCAAATTAGCCAACTAACGTCTTTTGAACCACCCACAACGGCCGAAGTTTTAAACATAGTTAGAAATTTGAAAGATTCCGCTGCTGGTCACGACGGAATTAGTACTAAAATACTAAAAATTTCCCTACCTTATATTATACGCCCTCTTACTCATATATTGACTTTATCTATCCAGAACGGAGTGGTTCCTAAAGCAACTAAAATTGCAAAAGTGATTCCTATATTTAAAAGCAATGATTCTACCTTAGTTAATAATTACCGCCCAATCTCAATCCTGCCCTGCATCTCGAAAATTTTGGAAAACTAATATACAATCGACTTTTAAAACATCTAGACCAGAACGATATTCTGTACAAACATCAGTACGGCTTTAGAAAGGGATACTCTACCTCGATGGCACTTATACAACTAATAGATAGAATAAATTCAGCTATTGATAACAATGAATATACTATTGGAATATTTTTAGACCTAAGTAAGGCTTTTGACACTGTTAATCATTCGATTCTTTTAAAAAAACTTAACAAATATGGCATCAGAGAGGTTGCACTTAAGTGGTTTACTAGTTATTTATCCGATAGAAAACAATACGTTGTCCTTAACGATAATTCTTCGTCCTGCAAACCTATAAATTGCGGAGTCCCCCAGGGATCGATTTTAGGGCCCCTCTTGTTTTTATTATATGTAAACGACCTTGCTGAAGCATCCAAAATTATGTTCTTCATACTTCTTGCCGATGATACTAATCTCTTTCTTTCACATGTAGATTTTGATTCTCTAATCCAACTAGCCAATCAAGAATTAGAAAAAGTTATTACATGGTTCGAAGCAAACAAACTATCGGTTAATATCAAAAAGACCTATTATCTTATCTTTTGTAGCAAAAATAAGGCAAATAAGAGAAAAAATCCCACCATCTACTTAAAAAACCACATTCTCTCCAAAGAATCTCAGGCTAAGTTTTTGGGAATACAAATAGACGACCGCTTAACCTGGAAGCCCCACATCGCTATAGTTGTTAATAAAATTTCAAAAACAATCTGGATCATAGGGAAAATTAGACATCTTTTATCCAACAAAACCTTTATAACCATCTATAACAGTTTAATTTATCCATATCTTGCATATTGTAATATTGTCTGGGGAAATGCCTACAAAACCTCTCTGCATCCTATATCAATTCTACAAAAAAAATTTACTACGCATTGCCACTGGTTCTAGTTTTTACACCCACTCTTCGCCTCTATTTAAAAAACTTAGACTTTTGAACATTTACGACATAAACAGATTTCAACTTGTACTTTTCGTAGCCCAATATATAAACCATAAACTCCCGGACACATTTGATGACTTTTTTAATTTTCGTTCTCAGATTCACAACTATCAAACTCGCAAACGTTCCGATTTTCATATCCCCCTAGTAAAAACTTCTCTTGCCCAAATGTCGGTTAGATACAAAGGTGTCACCTTATGGAATGAACTAACTCCAGCCCTAAAGAATCCTACCCTGTCTCTTCTCTCACTTAAACAAGCTTTGAAAAACCATCTGATTAACGAACCTAGCCCCCTGTAGTAGTTTTATTTAGTGTTTTCTCCTATTATAATTTACACCAATTATTATCATTACCTTATTTTCATTGTCATTAACTTATACCATACATTATTTCATTATCCTTATTGTATTATTTCCATTTTCTATTGTATTATTTCCATTTATTAATTATATTTAATTTTGTATAGTTTAAAGTAAGAGGGCCTAGTATAAGCACGCCATGCTTCTCCCCTCCTCCTGCACCTGTTTTATCATTGTTTTTATATTATTAGTGTCCGTATTATTGATGTGCAAACAATAAAATAAAAAAAATCAAATCAAATGTTTGGCAAGCAATGCTTAACATATACTACACATTCCATTACCAGGTTGGTAGGTTATGAAAGAATGTTTTGTACGAACCTAAAATGAGTTAAACTTACATAAGCAGTGGTAAGTAAAAAATATATATGTAAGAATTTATAAGTTTGACATTTACACTGTCTTGTTGCCATACGTTCGTGAAACTTTTATCAAATTGGTTGACTCAATTGTCAACTAATTCCTTTACAGACATTCTTTACTTTGTTAGTCCTTCTACCCTCTTGTATGGATTAAGAAATCTAATCTAGTCATGAATCATGACGAGCCTGACATGCATGCTTAATGTTTAGTTACCACATTCTTAGATTAACAGAAACAGCCAGTATTGTCCTAAAGGAAGATATCAGAATGACAACCAAAACTTTAACAGATGGAAAACATTTGACTAGGG